TTCATTTTAAAGGAGGTTCCCTTGATATTGCACAATAACTTTCCTATCCTGATCTTGCGATTAAAAAACAATGAACTTTGAAAAAAATCAATTAGGATAACTGTATTTACTAGGCTCAAGCTTAAGCTAGAGCCCAACAAATTAACAAAATATATAGGAAATATGAGTCAGTACCTTTATTGGTCTTGTCGATCTCGCTTTTACTCCTATGCCGCCCGTGTTTATGTGTTTTGTTCTGCTGTTTGAGAGGACCAGACTTGTGGCGAACACTTTCTTCGAACGCCATCTTGATTTACACAACACGTGCCATAAGGAAGCCGCTGACCAATACCAAATCCTCTCTGNACATGATAGTGGATAGCTACTAATATGCTGACACAAAAACCATACCATTACAGGCTTCTATCTTAAATAAGAACAGTGATTTAGGAATAATTTCTGTAATGAAGGAAAGCTGCATGGTGCTGAGCTTGAAGGTGGATCATCACACATTGAATAGGGTTCTTGCAGTCTCTACTGCAGTGTGAAGAGGTACTCGGTCCACAGTGGAAGCAATGCAGAGAGAAGTAGCAAGGTCTGAAACTCACTGAATTTCTCGGAAGTGAGAATTGAAATCTAGTGAACCAAATCCTCTCAGGCAACTGCTCTGGGAAAAGATTTCCGTACAACCCCATGTATGAAGCAATTTCATTCTATTTCACACACACAAGAAATAAGTTGATATGAAAGCAGTCCAAAAATTCATCCATCCTTAACTAAACAAAAGATTAGCTAGACACCACTTTGCACACAAAGTGATTCGGACAAAATCAGTGAACTTAATATAATACAATTTTTATTCATTTTAAAGGAGGTTCCCTTGATATTGCACAATAACTTTCCTATCCTGATCTTGCGATTAAAAAACAATGAACTTTGAAAAAAATCAATTAGGATAACTGTATTTACTAGGCTCAAGCTTAAGCTAGAGCCCAACAAATTAACAAAATATATAGGAAATATGAGTCAGTACCTTTATTGGTCTTGTCGATCTCGCTTTTACTCCTATGCCGCCCGTGTTTATGTGTTTTGTTCTGCTGTTTGAGAGGACCAGACTTGTGGCGAACACTTTCTTCGAACGCCATCTTGATTTACACAACACGTGCCATAAGGAAGCCGCTGACCAATACCAAATCCTCTCTGCGAGGCTCGTTCCCAGTATCCAGTTGCTAATGTCATTGCCTACAAAAAGGACCTTTCCAGCCACAATTTCACTCTCCTTTGCTGGCAACCCCAGAAGCACTAACTATTAAAGCAGCTGACGAAGGAAACCATCTGAGATTTCCGAAATCGGTCCTGCTATTTAAACATTTATCAACACTCTACGGCTACCATTTTTACTTGAACAACAACACTAAAGGAGTTATACAGGGTTAAGGTCGAGTGACAATATTACTACACTTTTTTTATATTGCTTGAATTTTTTGACTTTGCGAACCCAACGGACTACCCTGGGTACCAGAGGTTTTTCTCGCGTGCGGTGGGAATTTTCGGTGTCGGCCAAAGGCCGACACATCTTCGGCCCAGTAGGCCGAGACGGAAAGCCAGAAACCGCGCTAGAAAAGTCTCTGGCATCCAGGGTACCAGCGGGCGTATATAAGATTCCTTTTTATGGCCTTCTTGATCATTACTTAATTAAAACAACTTGAGAGTGCAGTGCTACTGGAAAAGTCTCCAGCAATATATTTAGCTTGAACGCTGCATGCGGTTTTTATTATTAACTCCACTCACTGAAAGTGCTTTACTCAAAATGTAACTCAAAGTTGAAAGATCCTCACTTCAATTCATAAATCTTAATTTACTAAGAACTAAACGAAACGAAAACTGAACGTTCTGAGGCTCTCCCTTTCAATCACTATTTGACTGGTTTATGTTATCGTCCGGTGGCCGGACCAAGGACCTAGTTCGCAAAATTTGCTTTGGAATATTCCTCCTACAACTTTGGCACAGGGTCCAGAGGAGATGTGTTTGTCTTTAGAACATCAAACTCCGTCGAAAACTTCTGAAAAAGTGGGTTATTTTGATCGCGTTACAGTTATTCATTTTCAAAAGGTAAGTACCTGGTGTAAGCTGATAAGAAGCGAAGAAATCGTTTACAGTAGATTCATAAAGATTCCATTGAGCTAATTAATCGTGCTAAGCGACAGGTATATACATTTTTCAAGGTGAGACTTTAAATAAGTAATTCATTTATTAACACGAAACTCCTCTGGACCCTATGACTTTGGTTGTAAAATTCAGCCTGTCGACCGAACTTTTTTGCAATTCAAAAGAACATTTCTTGAAGGCCATGTACACCGAAAATTAACTTTCTTAACGCACTTAATAGCGTATGCGTGAGGTAAGAATATATCCAAGTAATTTAACCCGGACGTACAAGGGGGGCGGGGAGGGGGAAGGGAGGCGTGAAAATCGCGTGTGGGGGGGGAGCTGTCGTGAAAATCACCCTACGCAAGAAAAGGCGACACGCGGCGGGCGTGTCGCCTTTCCTCGCGTGGGGTGATTTCCACGCGCGCTCGCGTTTCGCTCGCTCTACTATCCCTGAGGAAAAATGGGGGACTATAATTATCTACTTGTAGTCTATCCATCGCTGTGCTTTGTGTAAGTTTCACGTGACAGTAACATCCTCGCTGAGATCGATCAAGTCAGAGAGCGGAACAGTCATTTTGTAAGACGCCGCTGACATATCGATGACTCATCTGGTTTAGGTCGATGTTATCTAGTAGTGCTTTCCGTGGCTGTAGAAATTTAAGTGTTTTCGCACTGAATAGTCTAAAATCCAAGTAAGTTTAAACGAGCGTAATTGTTTTGCCTTCAATGTTGCGACTTCTTTAATTTTGGCAGGAAAGTGTCAGACCCGTTTTGATTTGGTATTTATTTATTTATTTATTTATTTATTTTGGTCTAAAATAATCAATTTGTAAATCCAATATGGCTGGGATAAGTTTCTACGGAAGGATCTAGATGGGAAAATCCAAGAAGAAAATCGTAAAGAAAACCTGAACGCCGAAAAATTTCTCAAGGGGGAAGCCATTTCCAGACGGCTGGACCTCCATCTCTGGAAGAGATACCTGAAGTGTTCTTTCAAAATTCTGAGGATAAAAAAACACCTTACAGACGGTATACCTTTAATTTTCCAAGACAAAAAAGTTTGAAACCTCCGAAAAACTAGTCCACTAAACAACCGTTTTTAGTGTAGTCACGCAACGCTCCTCCCCACAAACGGCCGGATGCTGAGGATCGAACCACATTCCTGTCCTGCGATTGGCCAATTAGAATTCTGCTCCCATTTTCTGGAAGGTGTTCGGGCCACGCTTGCAGTACGGTGGCTCCTCTAATCACACTTTACTTTTTTCAGTGCCCCATGTATAAATGACAGAACAATCAAAATCGTCGCGTTAAAACAAGCAGTCAACTGAGAGTAGTGTTTTGTTGTCGAGTCACATTCAGAATTTATGATGAGATAAGCAGCAGCAGCAAGCAAGTCGAGCAAATGTGATGCATAACATGGATGTGCTTATAAAGTTTCCGGGTATAGTTTCGCATAATCATTCATCGATAATTTATAAGATTGCTTTTGTTTGAATCAGTACCCTTGAGAGTTTAGTCTTCACATGTTACAGCAACACAATGAGCACATCTGGCACATGAAATTTATCATACACATGCACATTTACAAAAAAAGAACCAACCGATCCTGGTAAGAGTTATGTAGGCCTATCAAACCTTTTCTGTTCGTTTATTGTTTGTTTGTTTGTTTGTTTGTTTCTTCACTTGGAACTTTATTAACCACCTAAAACAAACTTTTCTGCAAATTAACCTTTTCGTTACTTGCCGCAACAGAGCCCGTCCAAATTCGGCGATGATTGATTGATTTGTCGAAAATTGAGAAGAGTATTCGCTTCCAAGCGACGTCATGTATGATTGCAGAGATGGACCGATGGATCTGCTCCTCATAATATTTGTTCTGCATGCAATTAAAGTTTTGATGGCTGGGACATTTGGGAAAAATGATATGTCCTTGGAAGAAAAGTGTTGCTGGGAAAGAGAGAGTGCAGGGTGTCTGAGGGGATTTGTTGTCTAGAGTACCTGCTATGTGGTATTTATTCGCGCTATAATCAGACCCAAACTGGCCAGTAATTGTTGGACATACGTCTGCTGGGAAACTTCCCAGTAAGTCAGGTTGCAGAGTACGTGTAGGTGCACCTTGCTCGCTGGGAACTCTTCTATCAGTCCTGCTGGGAGTGAGGAACAGATAATTTTTTTCCCAGCATTCTCCCAAAATGCTTAAAATGGCTTCGGAAAGCTTTATTCATGCGTTGTTGTTGTTTTCAGATCTTTTTTCTCAAAATTTGACGTTGGGTGCCCCTGTGATTGGTTTGTTCGTTAGACCACGAACACAAAGGGAAATGTGATGAATGTGGTTCGATTCTCAGCAGCCGTTTGTGGGGAGGAACATTGCGTGACGACACTAAAAACGGCTGTGTTGCAGACTACCGGAAAACCGCTCTGACTGGATATAATAATATGTTTCTGCTAGAGTGGCACACGACACCGGCGATGAAGCAGGCCAATGGGATAAACTCTGGTTCTGGAATCTACTCTTGTATCGTGGTTTTTAACAAACTCACCGGAAAGGTATTAGCCGCAAGAGATAGATCATGTCCTGCAGGAAAGGACGGGTTCTGTGAGCACATTGCCGCTTTCTGTTATATGAACATTTAAACATAAAAAAGTTTACGAAAACTGAAACAGCAGTTTTCTGCGTCATATGCCTTCGCACTTCATCTAGTGGGAAGCCAAGCGTTTTCAACAATTAGCTATAACAATTGGGAAATAAGCTCAATTTACATAATTTTGAGGAAAAAAATACAACGTAACGTTACCAAAATTTGAATACTTGATCATTAACAATACTTCCACCTTATAGCAAATGACACCACGTATTACAGTGGAGAACAGACGGTGTCAATGATATCTATTTGGTACAAACAACGCAAGTCAGCTCATGGCCGTCAGTATAGGGTTTACACGGTAAGTCTGTACTACAGGAAGTCTCAACCACGTACAATAATGCTCCGTTCGTGTCGCGATGGCTCCCCGGTACAACTTCAGCATCCACGTCAACGCAAACAAATTCGGTGCCGTGTTTATGGTCGTGATGCGATGACATCAAGTATCCGCCGTACTCTTTTGTCCATCCCGTCGGGCACTTGTTTCTTCCAGGGACCATTAATTGCGAACCACGTGACGTGACGTAACAAACAGCGCAAGGAGCATCGTGGTTTGTAAGGCTTTGGATAGATCCCAAGAAGCTCCCTGACTCGTACTCGGTACTGTGTATTGCAGTGCCCTGCCAGCCGCCGTTGTTCTTGCCATGGTTAGGGATGTTGGGAAGACAAAGGTAATTAGAGCCGCTACCATGCAAATTGTGATGACCATTGGCCATGACTCCTATTAACAACAACAACAACAAAGACATTTTGTTTATTCGAGTTTATTCGACAGGCAGGCGAGTTGAATTAAAGCTTACTTGCTCAAAGAGGGGGGAGTGAATAGGGGTATGCAAATCCGCCGACCCGTTATGTTTTATTAACCAAATCCGCCGTTAAAATTTCGCCTGAACCTGAAATCTGGGCAAAAATACTTTTATTACACGCAAAGTCCAAAATCCGGGCCCAAAAAATGGATGAATCCGCAATCTGCTGGAATTGCAGAATCCGGAAATCCGTTAAAATCTCGCTTTGAATCCGAAATCCGGGCAAAGATATTTTCAAAATCCACCGATCCGTTCGCCTATTCACCCCCTCTCTCAAACCTTTAAAGCTTACTTGCTCAGTGGCAAGAGTCCAGGCATTTCAACTTCTAACAAAATTGAAAACTTTGAAGGTCAGGAAGTGGCCCTGGGCGAGCAAAATTTGAATAAAAGCTGCTTTCCCAAAAGAAAAGCTGGAAATAAAGTTCTTTTCGAGTTCTAAAGAGGGTCAAGACCAGTGTTATATCTACAATGTATATAAGGAAGAGGGGGAAACGCCCTGCACTCTTACCGTTATACACCAACAGGGCATCTCCGTAGCAGGTTTTTCTTCCCCATCTATTGTATACAACGCCTGATAGCGAATATCCTTGTGATCCCTTCTCTCCTTGAGGTCCCGGAGCTCCAGGAATTCCCACCGGCCCGATATCACCTAATTAAACAAAGAAAAACAAATCACATGAATGCTCATTCTGGACCTTGAAATTAAAATTTGAAAGAGAAATTTTGCTTGACTGAACTGAAGGTCTCAGATATTGTAGCTTTCGACTTTATCTCACAGTCTTCCTCAGTAATGAACGCTCACTGTTCTCACGTGAATTACACTTAGGAGACAGCACTCTCCAAACACTTACGTTAAAATCATGGAGACCTGCTAACGTCATTGAATATTACGGAGAAGATAACTGCCACCTGGGACCCACTTTATGGGTACCTCTTAATACGGACAACTCGTTATTATCGATGGGGAAAGCCTTTACATTTCCCTTGAGTTTAACCCGCTTAATTTAGACACCCTTGATTGCGAATCGAAAATTTAAGCGAAAAAGGGCAATATTAATTTTTTTCTTGTTCAATCCAAAGTCTTAGAAAGTTAACCACGTTCATAACTCGTCTTGGTCAACTGTTTTAAGTTCTAAGCCTCGTTTCATTTAGTTTATTGTATTCTACATTAAGAAAAAAGCTTACACTAAAAATATGAGCATTGAAAAATAGGTGTCATATACGGCTTAATAAACAAGATATTTCACTCAGCAGCTGTATTATTCTTGTTCCTCTACCTTTTGGCCCTGGCGGTCCTCGTGGTCCTGCTGGTCCTTGGTTTCCGTCTCTACCATCTCTTCCTAAAAGTTGATGAATGTTTCATTTCTCTTGTTGAACATGTTTCCTTATAATATCGCCTATGTAAACTCGCTAACTAAATAATTAAGAGTAAATGGTAAACGCGATGTAAGAGGGAATCTGAGAGATAGTTTGTCGCTTTTAATTTTACTTTAAAGTTATCTATTTACCATCAATCATTTATTTATTTTTGCCTACATTAATGAAAATATACTTCATGACCAGTTTCACGGAACACAGCGCCTCTTCTTCTTCTTCATCATCATCATTATCATCATCATTATCATCATCATTATCATCATCATCATCATCATCTTCGTCGTCGTCGTCATCGTCGTCGTCGTCGTCGTCGTCGTCGTTGTCTTCGACGTCGTCGTCGTCGTCGTCGTTGTCTTCGACGTCGTCGTTGTCGTCGTCATCCCCATTGTCATAATCATCATCATCATCATTGTCATCATCATCTGATCGTCACTGACCCTCGTGGCGATGATTATTAACATTACAATCCTCATCCTAATATGGGTATTTTTATTATTGTCCGTGGTGATCCTATTGGTGGTCTTCACATGACGTCACTAAAATTCAAACTACAATACTATCGATCCAACCGAGATTTTACTTTCATGGTGTATTAGAGCAGCTGAAAACTAATTTTCAAACAAATTTTCGCTTCAAAAGGGTTCTTGGTATTGTAATAAAGTACGCTTGAATTTCTAAGCTGTTGCGTGACGCAGCATTTTCATGACGGCCGAGAGAGCTGTCATTAAGGTTAAAAAAGTGACCTTTTTCGAAGAATTTTGCTATCTAATCAGTTCAAGTGTTAGAAAAAGTATTACTTTAATGTTTGTGAGTTCCACTAGGAGTAAATTCAAGCTTTTGTAGCAAAACTGGGTAACAGATGTTTCTGTTGGTTTCTGTCCGCCATGTTGGAGCTCATCCAACATGGCGTTGTGGTAGTTAGGATGGTTGTTATTGTCATCGTTATTATCATGAATACCACTTTGGATGTTTTTGTTTTCCAATTATGGTACCCGAGCTTGGTTTCGTGGACTGTAGAGAAGATATCAAGACTTACCTGGCGTTCCGGGAGGTCCTTGCATGCCATCTCTCCCATCTCGCCCTGTGAAAAATAACAAAACAAGAAGTGTAAGGTAAAAGCTACAGAGCAGACCGAAATGTAGCACGTAAGCATATTCTGTTAAACGGCAGAAAACGAGTACAATTTACAGCCCACAAAGTTTGTGCGTTTGTCTACGAGATTGAACCGAGCGTATGTTTAGGCAGATAATGGGCCCTTTGTATCGCGATACAATCACAAGGCACAAAAAAAACCTTGCTGGATGGCAAAAGATATGGAGGGGCAAGAAAAAAAAAGAGATTACATTATTCATAAAACTAATATCCTTTCTTGTTAAGGTCCCCTGTCGTTTGCCATCCTTCAAGGTTCTTTTGTTTTCTTTTTTGTTTTTTTGTATAATGTGTCCGTATCGTGCCCCAGCGCCCCTTTTTTGTCCTGTAATTGTAAATGTTTTCTAGTACGTATACTATGTGTTTCATTATTTTACAATTCGCCCTGGCGTACTGAATGACTGATTCCTAGTTAGTGGCTTAGTTTTCAGATGCCAAGGGGTTCCAGTTTTCTTGAGCAGTATTATAGATTCTAAAGCCAGGATTCTAGATTCCCCAAGCAAAAATTCCTTGATTCCAGAATCCGGATTTCCTAACATAGTCCTGGGCGCTGCAAATATGTACATACTTCACTAATATGTTTCACTCCCACCCACCCAATGCTAACGTTTACAAACCTGGAAGTGATGCCTGTCCGCGTGTACCGTTGGAAATTTTCACGGAACTATAAAAAGGCGACAGAGAAACAGTTTCTGTTAGCAGCACTTGACGCCCCAAAACTGTCACAAACTGAATTTTATGCATTATAGACGAATCTATTAAAATCATGCATGTACGATCAAACACACGCTGCGCTAGAATAGGAACGTGCCCGAATATTCATCACCCCCTTAGCGTCCTGACGCAAAAGACTCTCCTCTATTATTTCGCCATATAGTAGTTTTGGTACCCTTTTTTTCTCAGTCTTCTTTGTAAATTAAGTGTAAGGCGAATATTAAATTAAATGAACTTAGACATTTTTTTTCACCACTTTTAGCTTATTAAGTAACTTTTCGACCTCTCAACAGACCCCAACAGGCCAGCACGGGATCTAGGGCAAAATCTCGTCTGCGCGTGTGCTTGTTATCAATGCACCGGGAAGAATTGTAAACTAAATAAATAGAAATATCTTAAAATAAGTTGAGACTGAAATATGAAGATATTTTTACCTTTAAAAAAAAGCTCACGACGGAATCCATCAGGAAATTGAGTAATGTTAATTTTCAGTGGACAAAAATCTTGTACCGGAATAATCAATATCGCATTCTTGCTTACATTTTTCAAGGGCTATAGATCTAATTAGTTATCTGTAATAACTCCAAGGAAAATTTCTTATGAGAGCCCAAGAAAATGAATGTCCAATTTCACAAAATGACATCTTACACATGAAATTTTAAGAATTTTGTCTGTGTTTTCACAATTCATGTGAAATTTGACATTTATTTTCTCGGGCTCCTGTGAGAAACAGTCTTTGGTGTTATTACAGCTAACTAGTAATTATCATTTTATAGCCCTTGAATTAAGTTATTTTGGTACAAGGTTTTTGTCCACTAATAATTGAAATTACTCAATTTCCTGATGGATTCGGTCAATTTTTTTTTATTAAGGTTGTATGTGAGAAGCAAGAAAGTACCTTGAGTGTTCTCAAAGTTAAGTTAAGTCTTCTTACGGTCAAATTTCTTTCTGATAAACTTAATTATCATTACTAACCTTCCTGTCGGTGAAATATCCAGTCTTTCGGGTTTACTACAGTGCAATTTTGAGGGGTGTGGTATTCGAATTCGGCTACTGAACTTTGAGGTCCATTTCTACTGATGCAGATAGAGTTGCCTTATTGAGGTCCGATTTTAAAGTTCGTAAATTTAGCGTGACAAAGTCTGTTTTGATCTATTCACCAGTCTGGGCAGCAAAATTTAAAAGAAGAAACTGTGCGCCTTAGCAGAATCAAAAAATAAAATAAAATAAAATAAATGCATGCACCTTTGCTGATGAGAGATATGACTTTGATATGGGCGTAAAATCTACCTTCATATCGACTCTATTAATACAAATTCTTAAGAGTTTCTTTATACACTGGCATGAGTTGTGCTATTAAATAAACTCCGCCTTTAGACAGTACACAAGGCTTGAGGAAGCTTACCTACTGCATCTTAAATTTGCATTTCAACTCTAACCGTGGATTTCCTTACCCGCTTTCCAGTAAAGCAATTCTCCTGACAAGCTCGGAAATTTGCGAGTTGCTAGCTCTCCTTTTACGCCTCGAAGGTGGATCTTTCTCTCCAAGACTCGTCCTTGAATCTTTAATCGCTCTAAGCTCTTTCTTTACCTCAGATNCCTTAGCAGAATCAAAAAATAAAATAAAATAAAATAAATGCATGCACCTTTGCTGATGAGAGATATGACTTTGATATGGGCGTAAAATCTACCTTCATATCGACTCTATTAATACAAATTCTTAAGAGTTTCTTTATACACTGGCATGAGTTGTGCTATTAAATAAACTCCGCCTTTAGACAGTTCACAAGGCTTGAGGAAGCTTACCTACTGCATCTTAAATTTGCATTTCAACTCTAACCGTGGATTTCCTTACCCGCTTTCCAGTAAAGCAATTCTCCTGACAAGCTCGGAAATTTGCGAGTTGCTAGCTCTCCTTTTACGCCTCGAAGGTGGATCTTTCTCTCCAAGACTCGTCCTTGAATCTTTAATCGCTCTAAGCTCTTTCTTTACCTCAGATAGTTGCTGCTTCATCGAGACGAACGCGACAGATATATACACGATGCTCAACACTAGGAAAGCGACGGTTATCAAGTACAGAACGCAACGAGTTCGTTCCTGCAGAACACATTTCAAAGAACCGAAAGTTCTATCCGATTTCTTGTCCATCGAGCCTCCGGAGAAAAAAAAGTCAGATTAGAGCAGTCATAAGTTATGCACTTTCCAGTGATGCCAGAGACTACACTCTGTACCATTTTATATATTTGGCAAAAAGGAAGTTATAGTATGTTCCAGAATTTGTTGATAAACCGGAAATAGATAACCTCAGTTTACACAGTGTTTGCTTCATCACTAAAATAAAAATTGGATGTTCGCCGTGAGGTTGAAACAATAGCCGGCAGACAATGACCTTACTTAACCCCTCCTAAGCCGATCAGTTGCATAAACTCAGTGCTTCCTGTACTTTTATTTGGCTTTTTAAGGACGTTGTCAAGATGGAACAAAAAATAAATAGATTTTAAATCATTTGTGCAAATTTATTTATAGCAAATGAGTTATGAATTCCGGGCCACAAAAATTGAATCAAATTCGCTATAAGAGGTAGCGTATCTGTAAATAAGAATATTTATTTCATATCATGCCCTGGATTTTTATAGAGAAAGCGTGGCTGAAGGTTACATTGTGTTACAAATCCTCCTTTTTTTACATGTACAGCAGATGATGTTTCAAACGCCTTAGCATGAGACTAACACGATTCGCACATGGGACAGCAAGTAGGATACAAAAAGGTACACTTTTTACAAGGTCAAATACATCCAAACATGATAAACAACAAATACCTTCACTTCTTTTAAACGTTATTTTCTTAGGATACAAATAATAACATTTCAATTAAGTTTACCTTCATTTACATAAAGGCCGTAGGGCTAATCCAGGATTGTGCTATTAGCTACGCCCTTAAAACCTATCATCATCCTACCGTGGCAAAGTTCCAGTTTTCACATGAACCGTGCCAAACTATTTGATCCCATTTTTACAGAATGATGATCCGTCTTAAAGACGATAGGTACACCGGAAGAGTTTGGAAAACAAACAAGTAAAAAATAATAATAACGTTCCTTGGAGAAACACTTTGAATACCGGACATCTCTAAGCCGTCCGGATTCCAAAGCCCAAGATTCCGGATTCCACGAGCAAAAGATTCCCGGATCGAATCCGGATTCTCCCCAAGGAAAAGTTTCTCGGACTCCCATAAATAGGGCGAAAGAGTGCTAAGTTCGAGAGACGAGAGGCCGTGCGAATTTTATATTTCTTAGAAAGAAAAAAAAAAACGAAAACAAAAACAGAAAAAGGGGAAAGGGGAAAGGACAGGAAGGAAAGATAGGAACGAACGAACGAACGAATAAAAAATAAATAAATACATAAAACTGTTTGCACCCACAATAGTTCCACCAGGAACTCTGAAAACTCAACACAAACTCTGAATTATTTAGTGGCATAAAATAACGTGGGGGAAGTTAGAAATCCTTCTATGTCGACTTTATGGGGTAACCGTAATGAATGGATTTAGGTAGCTGCTTCTAATAATAAATTATTAAGTAAAACACCCTCAGCGCGGTTACAGCAGCGTTTAACCCCAGTTTCATTTTGCTTAGAATGCCGGCCGGATGTTTGACCATACTTAACTGAGGCGAACTTCGGTTACCTGCTGCGATTGTTATGTCGGGGCACACGAAATGTCTGAAGCAGATCAGAAACCTCTTATCCCGGGGGGGGGATACTTTAGGAATTTCTGGGTGGGGATGTGCCGCTGGGACCCTGGAATCCTTAACCTATACCAGAGTTACAATTAGTTCAGCTGAATTTTGCTACCCTATACTAGAGTAAACTCGCCAAATCTCCCCTATCCGAGAGTAGCTGTTTCCCTAGTCTAGATAAAATCTTCAACCAACTGATCAGTTTCCTGAAAATTGATACCCTATTCTAGACCCAAACGCTCTGATTTATATACCTTATCCTAGAGTAAACTGCTTGAAAACCATACCCTTCACAGCGGCACATACCTATAATTATAGCCCATATATGGCAGTACCCCCCCCCCCCCCCGCCCTCTTATAAGGGGGAACCCGGGGGGAAACCCTTAAAAAAAAATAAAAAAGTCCCCGAAGTAACCCGCGTTCCCGCGTCCATGAAAACGGAAAAATAAAACTGGTGGGGAGAATAAAAAAGGGGAAAGGGGAC